CGAGGTTCCCACTATAAGACCGGATCACGGACCCAATTATCCCTGCAGATCACCTATTCTTGGCCAAACTCAGATAATTCCGCTGTGAGTGACTTAGCATCACCCAAGCAATCAGTTACTCCGTCCGTACTTGCAACCTAAACACAAATACTAATACCGCCCCCAAACGCTGAAACTGCTCGGATCGCTGAACTGTCTGAAACGGTATGTTGCCACATGGCTGCTTTCCAAAATCTACCGAGACCTCCCTGGTCTCAATTCGTTCGCTAATCATCTGAAATACCGGGTTCCGGTTCGGCTGCGGAGCCAAAGGACCCCTACAAAGTCGCCTTATACGACTTCCGAACGAAATCCTTTTCTGGAACTAGTTGCCACTAGTTATCATGCCACTGCGACTCTAACAACTTTCTGATCTAACCGATCGGGTCCATGCATCGAATCCTGTCGTCATCAAATCCAAGACTAAAAGTGATTGCTACCTGACCAATGGTAGACTTATCTCACACGTCCTTAAGCAGTCCATTGCTTCCCTGATCTCATAACTGTAGTGACGTTCCTACAGTCTTATCTCTGGCTCAACCAGGTCTAATCCCTCTTGGGAAATCCATAAACCAATCCGTGGATTTTACACGCCCTCACTGCTACACCCGAACTGGTGGGTACTACTGTTCCTTCCACGTTCTAACAACATGCTCGTGCCATCTACCAACCTAGTGAATGCTACGACTACACCTGCAGTCTCACGACACTCTATCACTATCTGTCAACCTCATGAATGCTACGGCTACACCCGCAGACTTACAACATTCTATCACTATCTGACCGCTAGTGAATGCTACGGCTACCCCCGCAGTCTTACAACACTTTCCATGCTAACTGACTGCTAGTGAATGCTACAGCTACCCCCGTAGTCTTACAGCACTTTCCATACTATTTAAATGTTAGTGAATGCTACGGCTACCCCCGTAGTCTTACAACACTTTCCACACTATCTAACTATTAGTGAATGCTACAGCTACCCCCGTAGCCTTACAACACTTTCCACACTATCTAACTGTTAGTGAATGCTACGGCTACCCCCGTAGTCTTACAACACTTTCCAAACCGGGTCGAACACGCACTCGACCTGTCTCTCAACTGAACTTGAGTCCTAACTGAAGCTCTAACCTGGTTCCCAAAACCTGCTATTTGATGCCAAGGAAAAGCGTGAACCAAATGTTGGAACGTTTTTTGAACTCCCAACTCACCCAATCCTCAACCTAGACGGCCACTCGACCGCCTTTCCCCCTGACGGGGATGCGAAACTCATCCTAGTTGCACACCTATTTCTGCTCCTGGATACCTGATTGATTCTCCCCTACTTAGATTCGACTAAGTCTTCACGGCACATGAAAATTGAAGGATTCCCAATCCTTCTCGCTTTCTAATATCCCACTGATGACAACCTGTGCTTACCAATGCTAGCGATTAATCACCGGTTAAACCTTGAGATCGCCCATCCTCGGAAATCTTGATGAGTACTCTTGAAATCTGGTCTAGTCTGACACCTCAATCCACCTCCCATGTTGACAGCTGGAGGCCTTAATCTTCACCCTAGCTGACGAATCCTCGTTCTCACTTCCAATCTTGCACCACCACTGAACTCAAACTAAACACAACCCATGCGAAAATACAATTCTCTTGAACATCCAATGACCAACCACTTATGTATCTAACGCTCGCAACTGACACCACTATCTTCCTGCTACCAGTCCTTTCCTAGCAACAATAGTGTCTTGAACTCCAAAGCTCCTCCATAGACAATTATCGACCATACCTGAACAATGATAGAACCATTGAACTCTGACTTCACTGGAGAACTATCGCTTTAATCCTGACCAAATATCCTCTAAATAATACTCCTGCACAGATGCCGACAAAGATCCGGAATGATAACGGTACACACGGAACCCACTCCACAAGATACATCCCTCTGTGGGTTCATCAAGGACTTTTCGGCATGCAGAATGGCATATAACAATCCTTTATAACCTAGACAATGGCACAGAACCGACCCGAGATCTAACTTGTCCAAACTCAATCAAAATTCCAAAGTGGTACAATTCCCAACATCCATCTAGTAGCAGTAGAAGATGACATACCCGCAACATCTGAAGGAATCCTAATCACCTTTTGCTGACATGACCAACCCCGCTACCTTGTAGCAGCCTAAACCCTTGGAGCGACAAACTCCCTTGTGCACTTTCCCATACGTGCTGCACTGACTCCGGCCCTGCTGGCCTTTTACCCGATGATCAGAAGTCATGGGTCTCTTCTCGGGACCCTCTACTATACGCACCTGGCACGACCCTCTCTTCCCAGGGTGCTCCAAATCGATCTCGCATCTACAAACTCTTTTGCTTTATTTTTTGCTTTAATGTGTGAGTGTGATAGTGTTTCCGCTGCGTTGTACCCTGCTTGATTCCTAACAGTTTTTTTCCGTTGTGTTCTTCAACGTGTTGTACCATAATATATTTTCTCTTACCAAATGTTTGACCTAAATTTTCTTAAATATGTCACTTAGTTGAAAATCGTCACAAGACAGTTGTAACGTTCAAAAACTGACATAAAACGGGCTTTTAATCACTGGATAATTAGTTTAACCGAAGGATGTTCACCAATAGTCAAACCTGACACTAAACAATTGTTTTTACCATTAGATATAACACCAAACAGATGGGTAAAAAACCGAGTTGCACTCGTTCCGATGCAAGTTAGTTGTGATGCATGGTTGCGACACAAGTTTGTTGCGATCGTTTCGATGCGTTGTGGTCCAACGAGTTTTGAACGATCGCAATTGAACAGTAGCCACCTTCGTTGCGAAAGTGCATCCGCATCACAATCAGGTCCGAGATCAATTTCGTTCCGAAATCAATTTTGGTCTGAGACCAATTTCACTCCGAGATCAATTCAATTCCGAAGTCATTTTCGGTCTGATGCCAATTACAATCTGAGATCAATTTCAGTTCCAATATCAGTTTCATTCCTAAATCATTTTGCTCTTACTTAAAATCTTGTATAAACTTAAACAAGTGTGTACTCCACACCTTCCTTATTTTATATTCATCAAGATTGATTTTGGTCAACAAGTCAATCATTTACACTTAAATACACTTAGTGAAACAATTCACCAATACGTCATAATTCATAAAATCTACCTAAACTAAGAAACGGTTTGGGTAAGCACAACATCGACTTAAAATGAAATATATATATATATATATATATATATATATATATATATATATATATATATAAATTCACACCATAATTTGTGAAATCTACGATATTCATGAAAAAACGTGTTAAATGATTCAAAGAATACTTCTAAATACTAGTTCTTCAAAATTACGTTATAAATAGAGTAAAAAAACAATTCGTAGTAGAAAAACTACTACATCTAGGGGTGAGCAAAAATCGCACCGCAACTAAAATTAACCGAAAAAAACACATAACCCGCAACCGATAAACCACAACCGCAATGAAAACCGATGGTTAGGTTTTCTGTTTTTCAAAAACCGCAAATTTGTAGTGCGCTGCTATTATTAGTTTTCAAAAACCGCACCGCATCGCATATATTATATACAATATTTTTTTATAATTATTAATATATAAATTATTAAAAAAATAAAAAAGAACTAAAAGTTAGTCTTTGAGCTGAGTGAGACTTTTCAATCGATATGTTTGCAACCGGCTGAGCAAAACTGCCTCCTGCCTTCTGTTCCAACTCCGACCTGTTCTAACTCCGATCGGCGGGGCGACGATGATGCTCAACAAAAAGAGTGATGGAATTGCTTTGCTACCATGTAACTAACATGTTATATCTTTGCTTATATATGTTTTAATGGTTTTCTCAAATTTTGAGTAAGTAATGATTTTGGTTGTTTACTTGTAGTATATAAAGCAGAAAGAGTTTCAATGACAAGTTTCATTGATGAAAGAACGATAAAATTGTAGAAGACGAAAGTGTTGGTTTTTTGTTATGTTTAACTTTAGAAAATGATGAAATTTGACAATTTTAAGATATTTATTGTTAATTACTAGTGATTTGACGTTTTTAATGTATTTGTTGTTTGTGATTTAAGTTAATTGTCTTATACCTTATGGTTTTTTTATTATTATTATAAGTAATTTGTTTGAACTCTTAAAACCGTTTGAACTTTTAACTGCGGTTAAAACCACACAAAATAATCGCAGTAAATCCATGCGGTTAATAACCGAACCACAAAAGAACAAAACCGCACCGCAAAAATAACCGCCTAACCGCACAATTTTGAAAATGGATTAACCGCATTTGCGGTTAATGGTGAGGTTTTAGCCGGTAACCGCACCGCGCTCACCCCTATAATATATGCACTTCACCAAAGAATTACATCTTTTTTCAAGTGAGTATATTAATAAAAACTTCAATGATTGTGGGAATACTTATCGTGATTGAAATTATTTCTATTGATTGAAATTGGGATAATTTAAGTATTCCATATTACTTGAGCCTTAGAGGAATATAGAAAATCGTAGAATGGTTAGGAAGATAACTCTTAACTCCAATCATCCAATTTGTCATATGCTTCTAAAAATGTGCATGCATCTGCATAACTTATCTGCTCAATTATTGGGGTTTATATACATTAAATGAGCATTACGCTTATTTCAAAAGATAGAAAACATGTACATTTCATATCTCAACGTGATATTAACGTGTTATACTAGATTTTATCAAGACAATTAATAATAATTAAAATTAATTTATAAAAGGAAATTTCCATCCACCAAAGGATACCGCACAATAAATATGCACTTCCCTAATGATAAATAATCTCGATATAACAAACAAGTGTGGATTTTATTTTATTTGATCTTAAATATAAGATACAATTACTACAAGGTTAATAAACTCATGGTAAGTTCCTATGTTGATATTATTATACTAAAAACAGAAATGTTTTATATATTTTTTTAATTCATTGTGTTCTCAAGGCTTTGATCCAATCTATTTCCAATCTGAAATCACCTGGGCCAGTTTGAGCACCAGGTACACCACCTTCAGCATTGACAGAGAATGACATTCCAACAACTCTTGATGGATTCATTTCTATATCCACCTCAATTACATTACCTCTCCATGTTGGAAGGTAATGCGCCAATGGAATCTGCAATTCCATTCCAAAGTTGTTCATCATTAACATCCCAAAATGTTTATCAAAATGTATCCGAAACTTGCCTTTGCAACAACCCAATTGTGTTTAGGCACAGACACAAAAGCTTGCCATGAATTATCTTCCATTTGTCCAGGCGAATTCACCCAATTTTCGGTATAAATCTGAAACAAGTTTATAAAAAGATTTATAAAAAAAAATCGAAATGTGTTTTACATATATTTTATATATGACAACTTACAGTGGATATATAACTCCTCCCATCTCCTCTAATTTTTAGTGCTATGGTATCATAAGGGTCTAAATCGATAAACCCATCAAACTATAGGGGTGAGAATTAGAAAGAAAAATTGTTAGAAAGATCAGGGGGTAAACGTGTAAATAACAAAAGTAAAAGGGTTGATGTTGACCTTTTTAGACCTCATTCCACAGAATCCACTCCGGCTAATATTCCATTTTGTACTATCGGTAACATCCAGAGAAAGATTCCCAGAAAATACTCCTATAATCATTTAAACATTTCAAGAATAATTTAAAAAAAAAAAGAAAAAAAGATATATATATATATATATATATATATATATATATATTATATATATATTTATAAAATATATGTGAATTTTACTAACCAGTGCCACCACTCTGTTCATTTCCAGGATCAGTGATCTCCAATGCTGCTGCTGATAAACCTGTAAAATAATAAATAGTGTAAAAGAATCTTTTTTTTTAATCATGATGTAATTAAAATAATACATTTATATAAAAGAAAAAATACGAACCTCCATATTCAGAATCTGAATATAAATGCCATTTTTTAAGCTCTTCTTTGGAATTAAAGTTGTATATAAATCTCTCACTAGGAGGAAACATGTCATCAACATTCCACGAAAGAGCTTCAAAACAAGAAACAAATAAAAAAAATAAGATTACTTCGAGTATTATTAAAATTAAGAAGAAATAGCAACGTACTTTCATTTATTTTTGTACTATAGAATTCCACTTTCATTTCTTTCAAAGTAGAATGTTGTAATAGGAAGAAATGAAAGTAGGAGGCTATAAATATAATAAACAAAATCAATGGAAGTATATATTGCTATTATTTAATATCAATATTTATTATTGTTAGTAGCAAACAAAGAGTGTGCATACCTCTTTTAGTGGCAGTTAAAGAAGCTTGCCATATTGCTCGAACTTTGGACATATTTTCAGCTCCTTAAAAACCCTAAGAATTTAAACAATTACAACAAATTTAAAGATGTTCATCATTGCATTGTAACATTTTATATTTTGGAATTTATTGTAGAACAGATTATTTGGGTTATAAACAAAATTGGGAAGTATTTGTGAAGGTTATGAATCATGGAAGTGAAAATAATTTCACAATGTATTAGCAAACTTTTGGGCATATTTGGTTTGAAAAAATGTTTTGAAAGGAATTGAAATTTGTTATGTGTTTTTGGTTGACATGCAATTGGATTGAATTCTTTGTTGTTTTCTGTTTGGTTTGCAAAATTTTCAAAGGCATTGGAATGGAAATTATGTAAATGACCAACCTAACCTTTGTCGATGAGAGGTTCTGCAATCTGGTCTTAGAAAATAATGAGCAAGTCACTTTCAATGGTAAAAATCAAGTTTAAAATGTAAAAATTATGAAATACCAAAAAACTCAATATGTTAAGAAGCATTAGCATTGAATACCAAAAACTCAATTGTTGCCCCCGCCCGGGTCCCGCCTCCGTTCCCGGGTTTATAGGCTTATAATTGGATTTTTTGCTTAAAAAAACTGCTATGTTTTAGGCTAAAAAGTTACAAGTTCAACATCAGATTCGGATAAACTCAGCATTACCAAATCAGTTACCCAAACATTCATATGATACAGACAATCCCATGGACTATTTGACAGAAATCATAAAGGAACACAATTCCAAATGCTTTGAGTAAAAACGAAGGCTCAGATGTGATCTTTCTCTTGAGATTCATCAATCACTCAACTTTTTCATCGACATCCCATCAAGCATTACCAAATCAGTTACCCAAACATTCATATGATAAACCCAAGAAATCGGTAATTGAAATCCCATGGACTATTTGACAGAAATCGGTATTTGACAGACTGGAAGAGGAGAAATCAGAAAGAAGGGCGAAGGCTGACCTACTCGCTGTCGACTTTGAAGCTGAGGCAGTGAGGCCTGAGGCGTGTGGCCTGAAAATCCGATTACCGGCTGAAGACGACGGACCGAGAGGGATCGAGATGTTGCTTGCAGACCAACTCACGTCAGCTTAATCTGCGTCTGTGATGCGGGCGTAGTGAACGACAAGTCAAAGAACCCTAAAACCATATAATTTATTAGTATCTTTATATATTTTTAAATTAAATATATTTTTTATATAAATATACAACGGGCCGCGGGAGTACCGGAGGGAAATACTCATCCCCGACCCATCCCACCCCGCCGCCGCCTCCGAATTTTTAAAAAAATTAGTCCACTACGAAATTGGGGTTCTACGGAAAATTTTGACATCCTTAAAATTATCCTTTAACTTTTCGAGTAACGAATTTCAGATAAAATTTCAAAACTCAATTTCAAAGAAAATCAAGAGTCTAGACAAAGTGTGGGTCTACTTTTAGTATTAGTTAACCTATAAATTTAGAAATGAAGGTTAGAATGTTTCAACCATTAAAAGCCAAGATGTATTTTCCTTCCCTTAACTATCAAGTAAGAAATGAACCCTTTTACATTTGTAGAAACAAATTAGCAAGTAAAAAATGAAAATGCAATTCAACTAGCACATCATCAGTTTCATTTCCAAAAACTTCCTAAATCCCAAATAATAACTTGATCAACTGGAAATTGGAGGAAATCAAATAAAAAAACTAAAAATCACAAGGAAACGAAGTCAAGAAACTTACAGGATACAACACAGAAGAGCAACGGTAGTGTCGATTTCTCAATCAGAACTTCTGAATTACAAAATAATGAAAGGCAATTAGACGATGTCGATTACAAAACTGATATCGAGATTCAGGAATGCGTCGTTTTATATAAACCGTCTTCTCGATTTTGTTCTGGGAAAACAAAAAAAAATTGAGCCCTTAAAACTTTTGGGCCCTATGAAGAACAATCGGCCCAAATCTAGGAAGTGCATAAAAAGGTTTGTGATCAAATATTATGACATAACAAACAACAGTAAGTAACGATGGTATTTCTTTGTAGTTTGCTTATAGTTATAATTGTGTATAAGATTGGAGGGTTACAACTGTAACTATACTCTAGATCATCATGTCCAAAAGGGATGAGTCCATGTTGATTTACATAACTATGTTTGTTGTTAACAAATGTTATTTCATGTATTTGCATGCTACATGGTTGTATAAATAAGGACATGTATGAAAGGGAATTGTTGCTAGATGTAAATGACTACTTGGAAAGTATTAACCTAAATGTTGATACAAATGAATAATGAGTATTAACTCTTCTTATCACAACATCATTTAGTATTATTTTTCCTGAAATGTATAATATAAACACTATAAAAACATAAATTCTTGTATACGAATAAAAAAATTGTTGTATACGAATCACTTCCTTTAAAATGGTTACAAAATATAAGCTGCTCAAACAAAATCAAAATGTGAGAAAACTAGCAAAACCATAAAATGTGCAAATTAAATTAGATGCGTACTTACTAGCTGAGAAGACCCCATTAATCAAAGGGTTCATCTTTCAATTAGGAGAACCAAACCTAAATAAATGTGAACTCCACTTGAATAAACCAAGGCAACGTTTCGTTTGTAATCAACCAAGGCGGCAGTTGTTTCTGTTCGTCGGAGAATCCTAACGTCATTTTCAGATTCAGATCGGAGGTTACAAATGTTGGATTCAGAGAGGAGGAGTGGTACTTGGTGTGGATGATGATGATAGAAGTGGCACTTAAAAATATGTAAAAAATTAATTTAAAATGTCAAATTACTAAAGGCACATGCTCTTCTGGTATCTAGTCATATAATAATATTTTAGTGACCTATAATACGAAAATAAAAAACTTTAGTGACTAAATAGATCAAATAACTAAACTTCGTTGTAGCACAACGAAGCACAATAGCAATTTTCTTTTATTGTACCAAACACTATCTAATTTGTTTAACTTCCACTTCACGTCCGTTAGCAAAAAAAAAATACTAACTTCCACTTTATATAATGTCATATATGTTATGAATTAAGCGTAATTAATGTAACTATAAATCAAACCAAACTAGTAAACTTTGATAAGAACTTTAATTGAGAAGAAAGAATATTTAGAGAGAATATGAAAGTTATATCTCTTATAACTTTTTGGTGTATCACATTCTTTACAATGGAGGGGTATTTATACTACAAATTTTACTAACATATAATTGTAACTAGTTAGAAATGTTGACAAATGTATCATGCACCAATTATTATGTCATCCACCAATTATTTACAACACTCCCCCTTGGATGACATCATTTTAGCGTTCAACTTTGACGTACTGCCTCATTAAAAACCTTGCTAAAGAAAACCCAGTGGGAAAAAAACTTTAGCGAAGGGAAAAAGAGTGCAGTGTATAGTTGACTCCCCCTTATTTAGACACCCGTCACATTATATTCTATGCACATGTCGCATGATGTCATGGACATGTTTCCTAAAGATTGCAGTAGGAAGTGCCTTCGTAAAAAGGTCTGCTGCATTGGTACTGGATTGAACATATTTGATTTCAACTTGATGGTTCTTTATAAGCTCTTGAGTGTACTCAAAAAACTTTGGAGGTATATGTTTTGTCCTGTCGCTCTTGATATATCCCTCTTTCATTTGAGTGACACATGCTGAGTTATCTTCATAAATTAAAGTTGGACATATATCCTTTTCAAGTCCACATGAAGTTAAAACTAGTTGTGTCATCGATCTTAACCATGTACATTCTCTACTAGCTTCATTTAGTGCAATTACTTCAGCATGATTTGAGGATGTGGCAATATAAATGTTTGCTTTTGAGAACGCCAGGAAATTACAGTACCTCCATTCATGAATACATATCCAGTTTGAGATCTAGCTTTATGAGGATCAGACAAATAACCTGCATCTACATAACCAATCAAGCCTTGTTTTGAATTGTTAGGGTAAAATAACCCTAAATCACTAGTTCCTCGAAGGTATCGAAAAATATGTTTGATTCCATTCCAATGTCTTTTTGTTGGGGCTGAACTAAATCTTGCTAGCAAGTTTACAACGAAAGAAATGTCAGGTCTAGTACAATTGGTAAGATACATAAGAGCTCCAATTGCATTTAGATATGGTACTTCTGAACCAAGGACTTCTTCATTTTCTTCGCATGGACGAAATGGATCCTTGTCAATATTTAATGATCTAACAACCATTGGAGTGCTTAAAGGATTTGCATTTTCCATATTGAAACGTTTCAAGACTCTTTCTGTGTAATTTGATTGATGCACAAGTATTCTGTTAGGCATATGCTCAATCTGTAAACCAAGACAATATTTGGTTTTTCCAAGATCTTTCATTTCAAATTCTTTCTTTAAAAGTTCAATCACTTCAAGGATTTCTTTATTCGTTCCAATGATGTTCAGATCATCAACATAGACTGCTATGATCACATATCCAGATGTTGTTTTCTTAATAAATACACATGGACAAATAGTGTTATTTTTATAACCTTTACTTGTCAAATAATCGCTTAAACGATTGTACCACATTCGCCCAGATTGCTTTAAACCATACAAAGATCTTTGTAATTTTATAGAATACATTTCTTTGGGTTTTGCACTTAACGCTTCAGGCATTTTAAATCCTTCAGGGATTTTCATATAGATATCACTATCAAGTGATCCATACAAGTAAGCTGTAACAACATCCATAAGACGCATCTCTAAATTTTTAGATACTGCCAAGCTGATTAAATATCTGAAAGTGGTTGCATCCATTATCGGTGAATAAGTTTCTTCATAATCAATTCCAGGTCTTTGAGAGAAACCTTGAGCAACAAGCCTGACCTTGTATCTTACAATTTCGTCTTTCTCATTTCTTTTTCGTACGAAGATCCATCTATATCCTAATGGTTTCACAACTTCAGGTGTGAGGATAATGTTCCCAAAAACCTTTCTCTTGTTAAGAGAATTTAATTCAACTTGCATAGCTTCCTTCCATTTAGCCCAATCATTTC